GAGCACGTTCGGGCTCGCACTGTACGCGAGATGCTGCTTGAGGACAGTGTCGACCGCGGCCACGTTGGCGGCCGAGTAGGCGGCGACCGCGTCACCGACGCACTTGCCGCTTTCGCACAACGGCGCGGGGCACCGCGCCGTGCTCACGGGCCGGAACCGGTCGACGACCGCGAGGCACACTTGGCAGTCGGCGTCGCTGCGGTAGCCTTTCGCGGTCATCGTGATGCTGTAGACACCCGGTGTGTCGAGGACGATGCTGTTGGTGATCGCATCCCGGTGCTGCTCAAAGTACGCCCATGCATACGGCGCCGTAAACAGTGTCAGTGGGGTCGGCGCGGCCGCCGTTCGTTTGGCGACCGTCACCTGAATCGAGGGCGCGCCGACCTCGACCGACTTGCCGTCGTCCTTGTCGCCAGCGTTGCGGCGCGTCTCGGCCACGTAGTTGCTCCGCGGGTACGGAATGCGAGGGATCGTGCCAGGATACAGCGACGAGATCGCACAGGACGACGCCGAAGTACCGGTCGCCGTCGTAATGTCATAGTTGTAGCGCCGGTTGCTCCAGTAGCACGCGCAGACCTCCTTGGGCTTGGGCGCACAGCTGCGCTGCCCGTTGCGCGTCACGTCTTCGTAGCCGGTGGGGCACTTGCAATGGCAGCGACGGACATTGTCCTTCCCGAGCGAGATGACCGGGAGCCCGTTCGGGAGCGCGCTCGCGCAGTGGAAGCTCTGGACGGCCTTGAACGGGTTGTGCGAGAAGAGGTCGGCGGCGCCGAGAAGCAGCACCGAGTCGTCGGCGAAGGCCGCATGGCACGCGCTGCACGCCGACGCGGCCTTGCCGTTGCACACGTGGTAGTTGAACACCGTTTGAATACGGCGATCTTGCTCGTACGCCGTAATGACCTTGTGGGTTCTCGCGTCGCCAAAGAGACTCACGACCGCGCTCGGCGACAAGTGCGACGTGGCGTTGAGGCTGCAGTAGACGTCGCCAAACGGCGTGAACAAGTCGATGAGCTCTTTGGTCGCGAGCACGTTTTGCAGGGCGGCGTCGGTGGCGAGGAAGGTCGACGCACCGTCGCGCGGGAGGTAGACCTTGGCGTCGCTCCCAGGCACCGCCGGCGGCGCACACTCGGAGAGGACGACCGTCGAGAAGGTGATGTCGCACGGCTTGCCGCCGGTGAGGAACTTGTCTTCGCTGGCCACGAGCTTGTCCATCCACTGCTTGAAGACGAGCGCTGTGGACTTGTCGAGGCACTGCGAGATCGCGAAAAGCACGTTGATGCTGCACGGGGCCGTCGAGGCCACGGGAGATTGGTTGCACGACGGCCACGACGGGCTCACGTCTGCATTGGCGTCGAGGAGCGAGAGACCGCCGACGCCGTCAACGTCCATCGTCACGAGGTCGGGACGCTGCGAGGTACGCGGCACTCCACGGCGAGTCGGTCGCCGACCTCGATTCGAGATGCAGTGCAAACTGGTTGTCGAACTGCACGTAGGCGGACGCAGCAGTCGCAAAGGCGATGAGCGCCGATGGTGCGATCATGGTCCAAATTGCCGAATGAGATGGAGCGGAGGCGGCGGCAGCGAGCCCATTCGAATCGAAGTCGAACAGTAGAAAGAGCGTGGCGGGAAATTTAGGTTGCCGCGTCGAACAAATGTCGTCTTCGTCGACAACGAGAAGATTACCAGCCGCGCCGATACAATGGTAATCTTCGATGGACTTGGTACCAAACTTTCACGGCGTCCACCGTCAATAGCTCGTCCAGCGCCGAAGTACGAAGACTACCACCACGTGGCATCCCCGTGTGGCGATACTTGTCGGCTATGAAATACGTAAAACGGCAAATGGTTGAAGTTTAGAAACGACAAGGCCCATATCAGGATTAACCATGCGTCGGTGGCAGGCGCATGTGCGTCCAATGTTGGATCCACTGTAAAAGGATGCAGCAGAGCTCCAGGTCGAGTTCACTGCTACGCAGGTGGCTCGTGCGCTAGTACTGTGGCGTATCGGGTGGTCGAAACATGTCGGGTATAAAAAACAGCTCTATCCGGCATCCGGATACGCGTCATCCGAAGATCGACGTACGCAAGAAAGACCATGGCCTCCTCGCCCGACGTCCTCCATCTCATCTTCGAGTACCTCGACGACCACCGCGACTGGGTCCGCGCCGGCTGCGTCTGCCAGCGCTGGCGCCAGGTCGCTACCAGCAACCGCCTCTGGCTGCCACTGCTGCACCGGTACTGCATATCGCCGAGCGCTAGCGACGTCGCCGGTGCCAACCAACGGGCGTTCGCCGTGGTCGCCGCCCAGTACCCTGGGCACCTCGACATCTACGCAGCGATTGCGCCGGCTGTGAGCGTGCTTCGCACCATCAACCCGTCGGTGGCAGCCGATACGGCGCACAATGCGCCGTTTGCCCAGCTCCTCGCGCCGTCGGGCGGCCGGCGCGACCTCTGGCGGCCAGAAGCGACCTCGTGCACACGTGCCGAGAAGCTTCTCTTGATGCTCTACCACTTGTTCACAAACACGTCGTTCATGGACATGCAGCTGTGCTGCGCCGCGCTCTTTGGCTTTTTCGTCTGCTACAACGACGTGTACGCGCTGCATCTCAAGCGTCGATGGACCGTCGACGTGCTCTCGCTGTCGACGCAGCCATTCGAGACGATCCTTGGCTTTGCTTGGGCGCCCGGCATTGAAGAAGGGCTGGGCTTGGTGCTCGATGGGACCCTCGCTGGCCATGTGATCCGCTACGGCAAGGCGCTCGGGCAGGCCCACCGCATGGGTCCGATTCCGATGGGTGCGGTCCCGTACGAGGACCTCGGTCCATTCGAGACGTGGCTCGGCACGTTTGTGTCCGAGGTCCAGAGTGGCGTGCGCGCCATTGTGCGCGCGAACGAGACGATCTCGGCGCCGTCCGGCTTTCGCGAGGCAGGTCCTGGCGTCGGCGACGTCACCACCCACGGCATCAACGTGCACGTCTCGACGCTATTCCTCCTCAACATGGCGCGGGTGACCTACCGCGTCACGTTTACGTTCCGCGATTGCAAGTACACGTCAATGCAGCTCACGCGGCGCCATTGGACCTTTCGCTACACGGACGGTCAAGCGAGTGAGGTCGACGGCGACGGTGTCGTTGGCTACTACCCACTCCTGAGCGCAGCGACGCCCGAGTTTTCGATGGCTCGTACTCGGACGGTGGCATTGTTGCTGCCGTCGTCGACGGACCTGGCGCCAGCCTCGCGAGTGCGGTTGCGTCGCTCGAAGGCTACTTTGAGTTTGTACCGGGGTCCATCGCCGCGCCCCTCGGCCCGGCACTGCGCATCGCGATCCCGTTCGTTGCGTTTCAGCTGCCGCAAACGGCCCTCCGCAATTTCAACGACGCCGCCGACGACGACGACGACGACGAGGACAATGAGAGTAGCGGCAACGAGACGCCGTAGGAGATCGCCGTACTACAGTGCCGTGGGTAGGGTACCTATCTTTTGAGAAAAAAGACATCAATTTTGTCGTTTTCACTAGAACCGAATCTACTATGGTATGGCGTGCCTCCACGTCAACTCTCGCCGTGTTGATCTATCGCGACCAGTAACCAGCACGTGTCCTCTCGTACCTCGGACGGAGCAACGTAGAAAGGGAATATACCCTTGAGCGTAGGCACCTACCTAATGTCACGACACGTTGCTTTACTAAACTCTTAGTTGCTTCACGCGGACGAGTCGGAACGGGACGTCCTCGGGGTGGCCTACACACAAGGTTGGTGGTCACCGCCCCGTCCCTGGCTTGAGTAGAGGTGGCTTTAGCAGCTAGGGTTTGCCCTGCTAACCGGTTTTGAGAGTCGAACTACCCTAGCACTTCCGTTAGGGTCGATTCAGAGTAACTCTTGCCAGCGGCTTTTTGAAAAAAATGAAAATCTCGGCCAATCAGAAGCCGTTCCAGCGCATCTGAATTTTTCGTTTTGAAAACACCTCGTCGAGGTGTTTTGGGGCGTTTTGGCGCATTTCAGCGCGTTTTGGGGTCCTCGGAGTCGCTGCAGCACAAATGTTGCAAGTCAGAGTAAAATTAATGCATGGATTTGATTGGCTAGCTTTTCGACGAGCATTCATTGGTGAGCATCACTTGCTCCACGACGCCTCCTCATGCCGCGGTCAGGCTGAGCCGCCGTCGTGCTCGCTGTCGCTGCCGTCATACCAGATACAGTAGGTGCACTGCACTCTGCAAGCGTAGCGCCACGAGCTGGACAAGCGCATCTCTGACGTGCATCTGTGGGCCCGGATCTAGCATCGCATCAGGGTTTGTACGGCTACTAGTACATGTATGGCCGTCGTCTCGTCGACGGTGTGCTGCGCATGACGCGCGCCAAGAGAATAGCGATACCCGTAGTTGCTATTGTAGTTGGAGGGCGGATCTATCTACGCGGATGCGTCCACCACCCTGCCTGAGGTAAAGCGCTCTTGGGAAGGCGTGTCGTCGCCGCCGCGTCGCCGCCACCGCATGCATCCTCATCGTCCTCCAAGCGCGCCCTTCCACCAAGTATAAAACACTACGTTTTTATGACTGATTTAAACATCGACAGGCTCCATATATAGGGCATATTATGTGTTTCATTCATATGCGTGCATCGCTATTGTGAGCTGTATTAAACTCCACTATTGGCCCCTGGTGGCGGCTAGATTTTCAGCCAATCAAAACAATACTTCTCAACTGCCAATCAATGCGCCCTAACAATGAATTTCTACCAATGACATGCATCAGAGCTAGCATGATCCCGGAGTCGCTGACCTGGAGGGAAGTTCAAACTGGCCAATCAGCAATGGTTTAGACCATCTGTTGGCCAGCAGCCGAGAGCCGCACCTCAATGTCCGAGAGTCGCTGTAAGTTACTCTGCACAGCATCTGGTGATTTCAAAAGCCGCTGGCCCAGAGTTACTCTGAATCGACCCTAACCGGATCGCCATCCAGTTCATCGTTCGGGAGTTCCGGCCACGCGTTCTCACGCAGCCCACCAGTTCAGTGGCCAATAAAGACCGGAAGCTGCTCCGTCCTTTCTCTGCATGCCCTACTCGCTCGAGTTCCTGTGTCCCGTTTCCACTGGTGATGAGCCCAAGACACTAGACGGCGGATCCGACCAGCTATGGGTCCGTATCCGGTTGACGTTAGCAGCGCTGTGGACGCCATGGGACAGGCCGGTGTTGGACATGCCAGTAGACGCAGTGCTAGAGACAACAGCTTGGACCCGTGTGGACACGATGAGCATTTCTCAAGATGCTACAGCGCACGAAAGCCATGCTGGCGCTGGCCCTGTTGTGGATCGCACTTGCAGCCTACGGCACGGGTCTCTACCTCTTCGAGGACTCGATGTACGGACGACTCCAAGTCCTGCCCGGCGCCGCGACGATGGGCACGCTTCTTCTTGTGGTCTCTGGTCTCGGGCTATTGCATCTCGTTTGGACGCGCGCAAAGCCGTCGCTCACACTGTGCCTCGTTTTGCTGGTCGCCGACATGGTCTTTGGCGGCGTCGTGCTTGGCGGAGCGTTGACAGCGCGCAGCACCGCACTCTTTGCAATCGAGAAAGCGCCCACGCTAACGACGTATACACACCGCCTCGAAGCCTACTTGGCCACTGTGCAGGCTCCGTACGCTGAGAGCCTCGCGGCGCCGGGTGCCCCGCCCGCACCGGTGTACGAAAAAGCGTACCCGAACGTCGCAGCGTACTCCTTCAACAAGGCGTACTGCGAAGCAGAAGGCATCGCCTTCTGCAATACGTGGCCGCTCACGGCGACGCTCGTGCGCCACGGCCTTTGGGCCAACGCGAGCGTCACGGCAGCGGTCGCAAAAGCGCTTGCGACCCTGCCAACGACGTTTGCAAACGTGTCGATCAACGCGACGACGACGATCGACGGCTTGTGCGCGGCGGCCAATATGGATGCGCTCGGAACGGAAATGAAAAGTATCTGCCACGGCTGTGCGGAGCTTCGCAGATCGCCACGCGATCGCACGAAGCCCAAGCTCGCGACTTGGGTGCACAAGACGTGCCCGATGACGGCACCGAGCGCGAAGGGCGTCTACTGCGTCCTCTGGGCCGCCCCGTGCAGCACCTGCCGGTCGGACTCGCACCCGGATGATGTTCGTTCCGTCCTACGACGAGTGCTTTGGGTTCACGCTCCAGACGACGATTCGCCAGTGGGCAGACGCGGTCGCCATCACGTCCGGCACCCTCCTCTTCAGCGCGCTCTGGCTCGGCGTCTGCGTCTGGCGCTGGCGGCGCGTTGCGCAAATGAGCGAGACCGTCGACCTGACGCCCGGAAATTGGCCGTCGACAGCGCGCTCCAGGTCTTTTTAACATGCATAACGAGTCAATGTGAACCTCTATCTCGCGCCTCGTGTACCTGCGTGGCATCGCACCGGTGGGTAGGACCAAAAAGGCCGGACAAGAATCGCGGTATCTTGAACGGTTGCGATCCTCGAAACGGCGATGCTCGAGCCGCCAAAAGCACGGACGCTGCGCTTGGAGCTGCAGGCGGTGCACGCCGAGGCGAACGAGCTCGTCGAGCGCTTCTCCGTCAAGCGTTGGCAAGAGCTTCTGCAGCTGGTACCACCAGAGATGTCCTACAGGATGGCCACGCATGGCTAGCGATAGCACCAAACAATCATGGCCCACGACGCGTTTCGCTTGATTCCGCTCTCTGGCCACGACCGAGGACTCTACGAGACGCTGCACCGGTCCTTCCCCCGCGACATGGTCACGAAGGCGCGACTCCTTGGCGTTTTCCGTGGCATTTACGGTCTCGAGTGCGGCGCGGACCTGGACAAGCCAAAGCGCCTCTTGCTCAAGCAGCTCGAACGACTGCACTACTGGTGCGAGAACTCGACGTCCAAGATCCCCACGTCGCACTCGATGAGCACACTTGTGCTCAACTGGCGCCTCCTCCTCTGCGCGTTTCGGTACTGTAGGATGTGTGGCTGCCTCTTCTTTACGGTGGGTGGGGTAGCGCCTTGCGGTACCCCGCGCAGAGCGAAGAGGACCTCTTTCGCTGGTGCTTCCTCGTCTTTAGCTCGTCCGGGTACCTTGACGAGTCTCCGCAGGCCACCATCTCCCGCCAGCAACTGTACGAGATCTTCAACATGCTCAGCCCCAACCACGCGTGCTCGCGCATCCTCAACCAACGGGTGCGAGACGACCTGTCCAGTTTGTGTGAAAATAGACAACGTGTGTAGATTGCACAAGCCGACAATTTGCTACCCGTGTCGGTGCTCGTGCGCGATACCATTCGTTTCCAGCACATCCAGAGTCTCATGGCGCAGCCGCCGCTACAAGAGCTCTTTGCCCCGGCGTCTAAAGCAACGCACTTCTTCCACGAGCTCACGAGTCCGTGCATCCGCGAGTACTTGTATCTCGCGCGAAAAGATGCCCAGGACAAGGCCACGTGCCAGCGGTTCCTGCTCCAATACAAACGTCGCAGCTTGCGCAAAGTAAGCTTGTGTCGTTTGGTATACGACAATATTGTACATCACACTTGTTATTATAGTGCATGCGCGAGTGGTTGCTGTACGTGGACGCGCGCCGCCGTGCCCGACAAACGGCCATTCGCTGCCTCTTGCATCTCTCGACGTACAAGCAAGCCAACGCGTTTGAGAATCTAAGGGAGCACGCGTTGCAAGACGTCGCCGCGTCCGAAATCCAGGTGCAAACGTTTTGGTGACACAGCGACATCGATGATGCGTAGCGTGTCTACCGAGGGCTGCGGGGGCGCAAACTCTTTGTCTCCGTCCTCGCCACGTATGAAGCGGCCATCAGCATTCAGCGCATCTATCGGCAGCGCGGTGACTTTCTCAAGTACCTCAAACGTCTGCAAATGCAGAGTCGGTTTGCCATCAAAATTCAGGTAGTTCAAAAATGGCGTGCTTTTAGACATGGGGTTAGGGTCTCTTGACTAGCGTGTCTTTCGTGGCTGGCGAGGCCGCGTTCTTGCGCGGAAGGTGCTCCTCGCGTACTTCCAAGCCGAGATGGCCAAGATCCAAGCCGACCGAGCAGCTTTTCACGCAACGATCCGCGACCACGCCGCGCGACAGCTTCAAGTAGCCCTGTCAACACTGAGCTTGTCTCAGTACTCGGCTACTAGCGCTTCTGCCGCAAATGCCACCGCCACGTCCAAGAAAAGAAGGCCGACGATAACTCGCGCGAGAATCGCCGCGTCGAACTCGAGATGCAAGCACTTTTGGACGCGGCGTCGCGGCAGAAGCAAGACCACAAGCGCGCGGTGACCGAGTACTACGACACACTGCGCGAACAGACGCACGCGGCTGAAGCGCGGCGCAAGATCGACGACAAGTGGCGATGCATTCTCGTCGATATCGAGGTTGATGTATGCAATTAGAGAAAAGCAAAAGGTGACGCTGCTCCGTCGGCGGCGCGAGTGGGAAGACATCTTCCGTCGACGCGACGAGAAGGCCGCGGCCAAAGCGCGCGAGAAAACCGAGAAATGGACGCAATTCCAAGCCGATTGGAGCGCCAAGGTCGAGAGCCGCGCGAACCTCGTCCGCGCAGAGCTCCAAGAACTCTTGCTCCGACCGACGTCCAAGGAGCAGGACGCGATCAAGGCCGACCTCGATCGCCGGACGACCCAACACTTCAAGGCACAACGATGTGCCACGACTCGGTGCTACCGCCACCACGACGTAGGCGCTGCGGAAAGAGTTCAAGGCGTCCGGCGTCGCGATGGAGTCGTCCGAGATCCGCGAGCGAGCGCAGCACACTGTGCTCGAAGAAGACATGGAGGCCGAGCGCGATCGCGTACCCTCAATCATCGCAACAACGTAGCTGATGGAAAATGCGGCGTAGGTCCGCCACGAATGGACACTGGCTGCGGCCGCGTACAAGCAGCGGGAGCAGGACGACGCCGACCGCGAGCGGGTATTTCATGTCATGTGCCAAGGTGCTGCAAGCGCATGCCTCCTTAGAAAGCCGAGCTGCAAGCCGACGCGGACCGCACGTTTGCCGCCGCGACACGTATCCAGCGCGGCGCCAAAGTGTGTTTGGCGCGGCGTCTCCTTTGCCGCAAGGTCGAGGCCATCTTTGTAAAGGAGTACGACGTGCCAAGTGGTCAAGTTGTCTACCGGAATCTGCGCACGGGAACGTTGTGTCCGAAACCCACGTGCTTGGGCTCCAAGGACATCCCGCTTCTCGACAAGTGGTACATTGTGCCCGACATCACCGGTGCGTTGGCGCGACGACACGAGCCGCCTACGTGTGATGTGCTAGGCGACGTGTACTATTACAACGCCAAGCAAATGCGACAGTCGTGGTCCAAGCCAGAGCAGTGCATCTTTTGCGAGCTCTGCTACGCGCGCTTTGCGTCTTTCTACTGCCCCCAGCATCGAAAAGGGTCGTACGCCGACCCGATCTACGCGTGCGAAGAGTGCTTTACCGAGAAGGCGCCGTTGGGTAGATCTGAGCCGCAGAATATATTTGTGGTTTTGATCAACTCTCCATAGATGCGACGCTGGTCGCTGAGGCGTACGCGGTCGATGGCGCGCGCCCCTAGCCACCTAGCGCAACGCAGCGGCAAAGTCGTCGGATTCGAGCGCCATAAAGTACGCGTCGCGACCGACCTTGTAATAGTCTTTGCGCGTGTGCTCAATGCGAAAGCCAAGCGATGTGTACAAGGCAAACGCCCCCGTGCGCTCCACGCCCACGTGCAGCGAGATGCTCATGGCACTACAGTCGCTTCCTGCATCGTCCTCCTTGCATATGAAGCGTCGCAGCGTACCTTCGCATGCGCGAAATGGCTTCTTGCATGAGGAAGCGCCCGAGGCCTTGACGCCGCCGGTGCGGAGCGACCGCCAGCTTGCCAATGTGGCCGCTGACCTACGCGCGTTATGCCATGGCAATGGGGCAGGCAACGTAGCGATGCTGTACCG